TCTCTCTCTCTCTCTCTCTCTCTCTCTCTCTCTCTCTCTCTCTCTCTCTCTCCCTGTCATCTATGAGTCATTACATTTTCAGTAGAATCACAATAGAGAGTTCAGAACCCTTCGCCCACACCTGACTGTAAGGGAAAGGAACCAGAAGACAGCTTTCTTCTCTTGTAAATGTCAAGTGTTTGGCATGTCTCCACTGGAGGCTGAATAGATATGTAACCTTAACAAAATAAGTCCTTGGGTCTGAGCAAAGTTGGGAGTGTTCAGGGTCCAAAACTGACTTCCTACAAGTGTGCCATTGGGAATTTTACTTTCTTCTTCCTCCACTAGCCTCAGCTGTCTACAGCACTGGCTTGGCATTTGACATGCTCTGAGTGGGCCACATGACATATGAGCGGGTGTCTCCTAGTTTGTTTCCAGGGCAACTGGCAGATCTGTGCACAAAGGGGAGGGGGCTTCATGATCCTTCCTTCCAATGCCTCTCAAGGGTTGCTTCTCCTTTCTTCACAGTTCAGCACACTGCATACCATACCACACCAATAATTCTCCTTAGTCCACATGGGTGGAAGAGAATGGTGTAAAACACACACTGTGTGATGGTGAACATTTTAGAGTTTTCAAAGATGACAAAAAGCAGGCTGCAGCACAAAAAGTAAGTACCATGGCTGGTCACCACTGTGGGGCTTGAGTTCGCTCATTATACCCTTTCTGAACAGATCAAAGTATTGAAATTCCAAGTCTAGCAGAGGTTAGTAGGGAGTATAGCAAAGTGGAATAAACTCAGAGATCTGGGCAGAGTTTCATTTTGTCATTGGGATAATTTTGTTACATTCACAAAAAATGCATTTGGACAGATTGGCATGATTTGGTCCAATATCCAGAGGAAGGGAGAAGAAAATCAGGTGATTAAGGAGGCTCTGAAATCAGATGTCCCCCTTGTATTCTTTCATGAAAACAGCTCACAATTTTAACTACCCATCTTGTTGTGTAGCGCAGAATAAAAGAGGGATTGCACCAAACCCTACCAGCACAGCCTTCATGATTAGAAAGTGTTCCACACCTTAGAGAGCCCAGGAGACACGAGAATAATTTTAAATGCAAATTAAATTGAGGGGGTAGCAGAGAAGAACACATAAAAGACAGTAAAACAAAACCTTTCAATTTTCTTAAATTAGCAGTCTAATGTGTTCTAAAGAGCAGCTCTGCTCAGATCTCTTCCTAGGGGTTGCATTTCATCACAATATAAAATGGGCAAATCCATCGCTTTCCTGCACTCCGGGCTCTTGACTCAAGATTGAAGTGACAATTAGGAGCTGCTCATTTGGGCTGGCGGCTCAGCCCTGGCTTTCAGCTCCCTGACACTCTCCTGTGTCCTGTTACAGGGGTCAACAAGTGCGGGTGAGTAGCTGCCAACTCCAAGGATTCTCCTGCTGTGTGTATACCTTCCTAGCTATCTCTTCCTCGCAGAGGTGGAGGGAGTGCCCCCACTAAGATCTATATTATTATGCGTTTTTCAAAATCCAAGAAATTTCAGGGAGCTTGTAAAGCTGCTTCCACTGACTGATTCACAGAGGAGTTATTTCCAGCCTAGATGCTGAGGACTGTTTCTGTGTATTAATTACAACAGGGGCATGTTGAACATATGCTTGCTAACATGGCCTTTTCTTACCATTCCCCTCATTCCATGCCACCGGTGGGGCGTCTTTACAGGGGGAGCTGAAAGCCCCCAACAATGTCTAGACAACTTTCTCCTATTGATTGTTTAACCATTTAATATACCATTGTACTGTAATGGCAAATCAAACCGGGATTTAGGATTACAAAAAAAAATGATTAAAGCAGCAAATCTGTTATTTTTTAATGATTAAAACACTTCTCTGTGCATATTATTTGGGGCTAGGGTAGGGGATAGCCTTAAATGATATGAAATCTACGTGTAGATTTTGATGGTTCTCTGCCAAAGTTTTACACGGGAAACTGGTAATTTTCTTCCTTCGCAGGGGAGGGCACAAGGAAGCAGAGACTGGCGTCACCTTCTGTTGCTAAGGTAACATGCTCTGGCCATTTTATCTGATAAAGGAAGTCCAGTAGATGGAATGCATTATTCATCACTGATCTAATCAAACAATCAAAATTGTTTACTTTCACCGGGAATATTTAGTGAGATCAAAGACATCTGGCTGGAACTGCTCTTGTCTGACTGCCGACAGTGAGCCCTGGGTATTTTTGCAGTAAGTATGCTCTGCTGTTGGGGTACCTTTGGGTATTTTTTAAAAAGTTTCTTCTTACCAGACTTGGTTTCTTAAATTAAAATATATATCTTTAGAAAGAGAAAACAGTTAGATTAGCCTCTCTGAGCTTGATTTTAATGACTTTGTCTTGCTAGTTCTTTCTTTAAAAGCACCACGCAGAAATAGAGATGCTTCATTTGGGTAAATATCAAGGAAAGGTTCCATGAGCTCAAAAAAGGAGCCCAAGAGACTGAATGCATTTTGATGAAGTAGCTTCGCTTCCTGACAGGCTGGTGCACAGTAATGCTATGGGAATCATTTCAAGGCTGCAATAATTGTCGTTATTCTGCAAGCCACAATTCTTTCTCAAAAGCAGCCTGTGTCAGGTGCAGGCAGGTGACGATCCTGTAGCACTTTATAAAATGCACCAGAGGGAATTGCTAAAAAGGAAGGAATTCAAGGCATTTCTCCAGCAAAGGAGTCAGTGTGTGTCATAGACGCAAGGCACCTAGGAGCGGAGGGCTGGATTCGCGAGCCATTTCCTCTGCTGGAGGAAAATCTGAACATCTCCAGATTGATTGAGGATCAACCCTCAGGACGCCTGATACTTACTGATGCCACTTCCCGATAGAGCTTTGAAAAACGATAGCATGAGAATTTAACAGTATATTTTCCAGTTGATACATGGCAAGGAAAAGACTGGTATGTTATCTCTCTCTATAGCCCACATTGTCTGTCTTTCTTCAAAAGAATATATTACTTTTAATAAATGTTGGTTGAAGGTTGCGTTTTCTCCTGTAATAGGAAAGTAGTATTGGTAGCATGGGAGGTTGTCTTAGAATTGAAAATGTCAGTCAAATACTGGGATATTATAATGGGATATTCTTGTTCAAAAATTTAAAGTATAAACGTGCCTTATACTTTTTCATCTTAAATACTGGGGAATTTTTCTTCTCTATAGGCATTCAAGTGAATATTTCTCTCAGAAGTCTGTGATTGAAATATCAAGATGGATTATCCCAAAATGGATTATTTTCTGGATGTCGAGTCTGCTCATAGACTTTTGGATGTAGAATCAGCTCAAAGATTCTTCTACAGCCAAGGAGCTCAAGGTAATAACATGGGAGGCAAAGAGGGACATCCTCTCACATACACATTGATTTTCTATTAACAGTGCAGTGGAGGCTAGAGGAGTTTAAACTGCCCCAGAAGTTGAACAATTAGTATTTCTAAATTGATAACCTCTCCAAAATGCTGTTGGAGTTGAAATGAGCATGTAATAGAATAAATAAATCCACCACTTGTTGAAAGTAGGAAGAAAAAAAATGTACCCAACTATGGATACAAATGCTTCTCAGAAAGCTGAGTTAGAAAACAACTCCCCACCTCCTTAAGCCCAAGGTTTGTGGATGAAAAGGCATCAGGGATATTTTTACCCCCTGAAAAACTTTTAAGCTTGTAGCTATTACCATGGTGGATATCATAGGGCACCCTGACCTAGCTGAGTGGATTAAGGGTTCCTGAGATAAGCAGCAACCTCCTATTGCTGCCTTCTGTATTTTTAGATGATTTCAGCTATTGTCTTGGAGAACTGACATTGCATATCCAGAGAGCAGCAAGGAACATCTGTATTGTGACGTGTAGCGATGTGCACATCCTAATGACTTTGTGCAAGGTGATCAGTGACGTTCCAGTATTGGTTCTTCTGTTCAATATTTCATGTACAATGTTCCAATGTTGGCCACCTTGTCAGAGCCATGAAAGAAGCTGGAGTGCTGTACAAGACCTGACACAGAGGAGATTTTTTAAAGGCAGAAGTTCTATTTTCTATGGAATATTTAAGGTGTCCAGTCAATGCCACCTGAATGATGGGCATGGTCCAGGGAGCACACTGTGGTGTGCTCAGAGGGACAATGTCCCCTTTTTGTCCGTTTACAAAGTTAGATGAATTCTTGGAAGTCATAAAACAGAGCTTAAAAAAAATACCAGTCTTTATTATCTCAGCATCTTTCACTGTTATATGATGGGGACTTTACACTGGCCACTGATAATATTCCCTCCGGCTTTTCCCGTATCCTTTTCTAAATTTTTAACTCTTTCTCAAACTAATTGCTTGTAGCAGCCTGCAGGGCTTGCAAACTTGCTTCCACTGCGCAGGGCACGAGCAGTCCTCTTAAGGTCATGAGGGGCTAGAAAGGATGTGGTGGGTTTGCTCATCAGCACAGCAGCTCTAGTTAGCAACCGTGATACAGCGGCTAATTCTCCTCCCTTCGGGGGGGATGGAGCCAGTCCGGCCTCTCTCAGCCACTTCCAGAGGCGTGGAGAAAGTGGAAGGGAGAGACACTGGTCAGAGCCTCGGACTGTTCTGGGGTCTGTGGTAGGAGGATGCTAAAAGTGGATGCAGAGCCCAGGCTGGGAGGGACGGGGGTGAAATGAGGCTCCCTCTCCGCAGCAGCCCCGCGTTTGTACACTGCTGCATCTGCTCCACTGCAATTGAATAAGAGCACCATGTTCCGTGCAGAGTTGTGCATCTGAGCCGCACAGCTGTGGGCAGAGCGCGAGAGGGAGCAGCAGTTAATTATAGAGGACGCAGATGTCCACTTTGTCTCGCTTGCAGTGGGGACAGGTTCAACTTTTAAGAAGACCATGGGCTTCCGGCTTTCACAGAAAGGGAACGGGCAGCGGGCAGCGTGTGGGAGGCTCCGAGAACTTGAGGCAGCCTGCTGACTGTCAGCAGATGGAGCCGGGGGCGGAGTGGTCAGAATTGTCACCAGCAGTGCCTGCGGCTTAGACACCAGAGCTGGAGTGACTGGAAAATGCATGGGAGGTGGCAGCACAAGCTGCTGCTGCTCCCCGGAATCACGTTCATTTGAGGGTAGCAGGATGGTCTTCCACTTGAAAAGTCCGGATTTGCAGGATGCTTGTGGGCTCCCCAGGCATCATCCAGGCCAGCGTTGCCAAACCTCCAGGCTCCCTAAATGAGGCATCAGTAAGGGCAAACAATGTATCTCACCAGCACCAGCGGCATGACTTTGAGAGCAGGGGAAGGAGGGCGGCATGGTGACAACCTGTTGAGAAGGACATTAAGAGCAACTGGGTTGAGTCTCAGTCCAGAGCAGCTCTGTACTCGGCAGAGATGGCGAGTTATTCCGAAAGTCAGAAGACGGGAGGGGATTGCAAGTTTGAGCCCCACTGACTGAGCAAAAGCCCCTTTCAAACTTACAAGTCTGGATCTATTTCAGTGTGAAATAGATCAGCCTGGGTCAATTGTCAGTACCATACACGCATGCGTGCACACACACACACACACACACACACACACACACACACCAAATGCAGAAAAGTCAAATGATCCCAGACTGTAGGAGTCTGAATTGAGAGCACAGGACAGAGTTAAGGACCCAAGATTTTGGTGGCCTCAGACCCCACTGACTAAGCTTTCATGCATTCATGTGTTGATTGTGTTTCTCAGCAGTCCACCCTCTCTGTCCTACAGCTCTTTCTCCAGACCAATCCAGTGATCAAGTGTTCTAGTTGATTTGAACACTTACAAAGAGGGAAGCAAGAAAATCCATTTTGGCATTTTTCTTCCTTTTTCTTTCTCATTTTCCACATAGTTACCCTCATATCAATTTACAGCATTTACAAATTCATAGTATTTTGGAGAAATCAGCACATTCTATATTGATTATATACAAAATGTTTATCAAAAGCAACAATTTCAGTATAATATTTTTGAATGCTTCATGGCATTCTTTAAGTTTTTCTTGGAAAGTGGCAAAAATCCTGTCCCTATATAGAGGATATCCTACTTTGTTAGCACAAAAAGAACCCTCGAGACTGAGGGAAAAAAATGAGGCAAAAAGGATTCTATCATAGGACGGATTCCTTTGGAAGTCCATGAGATTTTCAAAGATTAGTGATCTCTTTTGTTAAATGAAACAGGCTGTAATTTTCTTCCATCTCCATTTTTCCTTGGTTTGGCACTAATTTCAGGAAATCAGTTGTCTCTGGGGATTCTACTTTCCAAAAGCAGGCATGGTGTGGTATAGAGGGCAGGAAAAAATTTCAGGGCCCAGTATCCATTCACTGTTGGTGGAGAATGCTCACCCTTGTAACTGGTCCATCCACAGAGAGGCCTACTAGCACAGAAGAGTTCTACTAGGGTCTCTCATTGCTCAAAAATGTGCTCCAGAGATACATATGACCTCAAAGAGCAGGCATGTCTTGACAGCCCATAATTTGAGCTCACCTATCTATCAGGTTTCTGACAATGAAGTCCTGCATGCTCCATACCTGATACTATCCTTTTATAAGGAACAACTGAACTGGGATTAGAACTGGGATGCAAATCATGTGATAAAAATCACAAAAAAATAATAGTATCATGGAATTTTCAGGTGAAAATAAGCACTGTTTACCTGTGATTTTTCACAGCTTCTTCCTAAATTGAGACAGACCCTGAGGATCAGATCCAGGCCCCAGTGCTATTTTTGACAAGGGTCTGCATTATAGCAATCAGTGCTGAAGATTGAGCACCACCATTGTGGTCCATCAGGCACTTGCTCTCAGACTTGGTCCCATGTGACCAGCCCCTGCCTCATCTGCAGAATCACAGAGCCTACCCTAGATTTGGGGACCCAAATTGCACTTTTGCAAGTATTCTGGCTAATTCATGCTAAGAGTTTTGAGTAGCGAAAATTGTGTTCCAGTGCACATGGAAAACACTTGGTGAGATTTTATAATCTCAAGGCTAGAGTTCCCGTGCAGTCCAAGGGAATCAGAATGCATTGAGCACTATGACAAGTATTTTCTACATTGTCCCTTAGTGATTCTGATGGGCAGCCAGGAATAAGAATTTGGACCTTGTATTTCATAGTAAGTGAGGTCCTATCGCACTGTATGGCCTTTCTTGGCTGAATATCTTCTTCTATCTAGGGCTTCACTTTTAAATCAAATCAAATCATTGAAAAAGGGCAAGTGGAATTTAAACAAATATATTAGGGGCTGCACTTTACATATTCATAGTTAATCTTCAAAGAAACAGTGGGAAGTTGGGACCACTGTATTATGTGCATGTTGCAGGTTAGAAGTTTGGTGATGGACAGGATAAAGAACCTTGAAAATTAGAAAATCTAGGACCTGAATTCAAGTGTGTTGACTAATCCCAAGCTATTTTGTTTAAGTACCTCATCCTGCATGCTGGAGAGCATGCCTTTTTGGCCAGTCATGTTGATAAAACCAAAGCAGGACACCAAGGTAGATGAAGTTGATAAACTTAGCATACCCCAGAGATGGTGAAACTGAAACTTAGAGGGGTAGCACCAAGTGCACAAGTCACATAGCATATCCAGAAAGGGTGGAAACAAGAGCTAGATCTCTGGGCCGGTGAGATAGCTCAGCAGTCTAAAATACCTGGCTAGGTAAGCTTAGGCAAGCTTAGGCAAGCACGGGGACCATGGTTCAATCCACATGCTGTGCCAGCCTCACCCCCAGGGTGGGTTGAGCCCTCACCCCCAGGGTGGGTTGAGCCAACCACACACACACAAAAAGTTAGATCTCACTTTACCATGCTGTACCCTTTCTGTGACTCTAGGATGTTCTTTTATTTTCTCAAAGACAATCCATATCCTTGGACTTTCAAATTACTTTCTGAGGGGAAAATACAACAAAAAGACAGCCAGTGGACTAAAAGCACCAGGCAACCAAATTTATGGCTCCTGCTAACACTTCCCCCTCTTTTATCATTTTACATAACTCTTGGCATTAAAAGCAGATGCTACAGTAATTGTTGCTCTTCGTAATGCACCTTTTCTCTCCTCTGCATTGTCTTGTTCAACAAAGAGAAATGCCAGCTTTGACAACTGATGAATGTCACAGTGCACAGCTCAAAGTCCCTTTTAGATGTTTTTGGAAACAGAGGAATTCATCAAAACCCCTCTGTCAACTATTTCTCCCCAAAGCCCCCTCCCACCTTCACCCTTTGTCCACCGTGTAAAGTCTGTCAGGACACAGGCTTTTGCGCCTTCAGCTTTGAGTTCAGTGTTCTCTGACCTTGAACACTACCTCCCTGGGACCTGCTCAACATGGTCCCACGAGACAAAGACATTGG